GGGGAGCGGGGCCCGGGCTCTGACCGCCGGTGCGCCCCAGCGCGCGCGCACCGCCCCCTCCGGTCCGGCCCGGGATCGCGGTCGCCGGGAGCGCGGTGCCCTACCCCGGACGGGCCACGTCCAACCCCGGGCCCGCAGCGGGGGAGCGCGAAGGTTGGCCCTTCAGCCCTGTGGCTAGGAGGTGAGCGATGAAACGACCGGACAGTCTGGCTAATGACACGCGGGCAGTGGAGAGGGGGAGGGGTGGGGTGGGGAACGCCAGGTTTGAATCCTGGGATTAAAAAGAGGGCAGGAAGGGGAAGCCGCGGCTGCGGAGCTGGGCTAGCTGGAGGGGAGCGTTTGCATGCGGCGCGCAGGGCACTGACTGAGTCACCGCCGTGGCCGCGTCCTCGCGCTCTCCTAGAGATTTCTCTGGAGAGCGCGGAGCAAGGTCAGCCGGGCAGCCCTTCAAGGACGGCGTGCGCCGCTCCTGCATGCAGATGGCTAGCGGGGCTGCCCGCCCGCGCCCCGGCGCCCAACTCCTGCACGGAAGGAATTCAGGGTCTGCCCGTCCCCGCCACAGGCCTCTTCCCTCTCCCCGACTGCAGCTCGCGGCCGTTCGTCAAAGACCCTGTTGTCACTGAGACACTGGGACCTTGTCTCATCCTTGGAACCACTCGTAAATCTTAGGTCAGGCAGTCGGCCGCCTTCGGTTACCACGGTCCCCAAAAGCTTTGTTAAGTCACTATGTCCGGGAAGGTTTGTGCTTCAAGAGTGCATGCCAGGGAAAATAGTCACAAAAATGCAAAACGAACGTCGTGCCTCTTCAGAAATTCTTACCCCGAAATATTCCCCCCGCCACCACCCCGTCCTTGCACTCCGGGCGACAGCCCTGTCATCCTGACACCGGAGGGTCTCCTGGAGCCTCAGGATCACATGCCCGCAGCGTTCACCACTGAGCCGGGCTGCCTGATTCTAGGGCGCCCCTTTCCGGGACCCTCCCGACACACCGGGAGGGTCTAGAGCCAGGCCAGAGATTCAGCTGGGAACTTGACCAAAACTCAAATCTCAACAAGAAAAAGAACTTTGAGGGGGAAGTGCCCACACTACAATCCTTCGACCTTGACATTTAGTGTGTTCCCTCTTTAAACTGAAAAGACCAAGGTATACACCATAAAAGTCTCATGATTAGGGTTCCACCACTAATTTGGAATTTGTGTTAACTCACAGAGACCCTGTGCTATCTATGAAGAGTTTGAGTATTTATCCGTTAGAGGACACACAGATAAACATTTAGGGGGCCCAGCTTTATAATAACCTGTGCATATGTTTGGTGTCATACATCAAAAAGTGTTTGCTCTCACATATATTAATGAATTTTTCCTCCCAGCCTATGACTAACCCATTTTACAGTTGAAAGGACCAAAGTGTATTTGCTCAAAGTAACTCATCCACCAAGAAGTCTGGATTCTGAGTTGCAGCTCTTTCTCCCACACATCCAGGCAGGCCTGGCTTCATAAGACTGGGACCTGTTCAGCTGTCCCCACCACCACAAACACCCTTGGCTTAATGCTCCACTCTTGCTATCTTCAAATGTTTGAACAAGGGGGACCTGCATTTCACTTTGCACTGGATCACACAAATTATGTAGCAGGTCCTGCACATGGGTCTCAAGGTGACAATACCAATTTTTCACCCAGTTGGCATGCACGTGTAGAGTTCGTGAGGTACTGTCATCTTCATTACAGGCAAGGCACTCTCTTGTTTCCTTTCTGTTCCTGCTTATTCTCCATCCCCATCAGGTACCCACACTAATAGTTGTCTTTGGGCGCATGCTTCCTTGGAAAAACAAATGTATTGTAAAATAATAAATTCAAACTATACTAAGAACTTTTTAATTGCATTATAATACATTTACAGAAAAGTACACAAATCATCAATGTACAGCTCACTGAGTCTTCATAAGCTGAACATACCCATGTAACCAGCACACAGATCAAGAAATAAAAAATAACCAGCCCCCCAGGATCCATCTCATGCTCCTTTCTAGTTACTACATGCTCAAGAATAACCACTGTTCTGTTGACCTGAAAGAAACCAAAGCCAAACATATAAAGTATAGGATTTATTGAGCTAATATGACTATTACAACTGGGAAACGCATAGGTCAAGTCACCCTGAGAAACGTGTTCTGAAGAGGGCCAGCAGGGCTTAGTATTGTATAAGCACAAGGAGGGGGGAAAATCAAAGGAGAGAGCGAGAGGGGCCAGCCCTGCCTAACCACCTCATCAGTCTTTCTATTGGTTTTACAGATATGGACATATGGATTTGGGATTATTATTAGGTTACATCCTACATGCAGGGGTCTAGGATAAGGGTTACAAGAAGCGTTCCAGGTTATTTTATGACTTTTTGGGTGCCATGAAGTCTGCTCCTAAGTAAAAATGGTCTTATGATAACATTTCCCAGGACAGGTGGACATGACTGTTGACTTAGCCCAGATCTCCCAAGGCATTATAATTTAGCTGAAGTGGTCACAGCAGGGGTGCTTTTTTTGTTGTTGTTGTTATCATTTCTGACTTCCTGTTCTTGTGTTTTGTATAAATGAAATCATACATTATATATTCTTTTGTGTCTGACTTTTGTTGAACATTAATTGTGAGATTCATCCATGTCGTTGTGTGTGGTAGGTAGGCAGAATTCTAAGGTGGCCCACCAAGATTCCCCACACCCTCTTGCACACGTACCTTCTCCCAGCTATTCAACTGAACATTAATCTATGTGCTGCTGTGAAGGGATTTTGAAGACGTAATTAGGCCTAAATCAGTTGGCTTTAAGGTAGGGAGATTGTCCTCAGTGGGCCCGATCATATGAAACCTTAAAAGGGACTGAGCTCTTCCTGGTGAAAGAAATTTGAAGCATGAGAGGGGAATTTGAAGCATATGAGGGAAATTCTTTATTGCTGGCTTTGAAGATAGAGGGGACCACATGATAAAGGATGCAGATGGCCTCTAGGAGCTGAGATAGGCTCCTGGCTGACAGCCAGCAAGGAAAGAGGGGCCCTTAGTCCCCCAGTCACAAAAAAGACCCTGAATTCTGCCAACAACCTGAATGAGCTTCGAGAGAATCCTGAGTTCCAGCCACCTACACCCGATTTCAGCCTTTTGGACTGTCAGAAGAGAACCGAGCTACACCATGCCCCGACTTAAGATTTACACAACTGTGAGTTCATAAGTGTGTGTTGATTTAAGCTGCTAAGCTTGAGATAATGTGTTTCACAGCAATAGAAAACTAATATCTTGTGCGTAGTTATATTTTGTTCAATCTTGTTGCTATATAGTATGTCACTGTATGACTATAGCGCGACTTCTTTATCCACGCATGCTACTGTTGATGGACATCTGGGTAGTTGCCACCACGGACCTTCCAGTGCATGTCTTTTGGTGAATACATGCATGTATATCTACTGGGTATCTGCATTTAGAATTGAAATTTCCAGGTCAGAATGTGTACATATGTTCAGCTTTAGCGACTTTAGTTCAACAGTTTTCCAGAGGGGTAAATTATTTTTTAATAGGTATTTTATTCAGACTTGCCATGACCCAATAAGGAATTAGTCTCCACTCTAGCTGCCACTAATATTAACTGGCTAACCTAACAGCAAAAAGCCCATCAAGCCAAGAGCCAGGATAGTTGAGGGACAATAACAGCTCCAATGGTACTCATGCTCCGTGGAGGAGGCACTTAGTCTCCTCACTAGCCAGGTCACCTGCAGGAATTAGCAGTAAATAAGATTGATGCTGACATTAGGCACAGTTAGAACTGTGCAGCAACACTCTCTATGGGATGTATTTCACTCTGCAAAGGATCAGCAAGAGTCCAGTCCATCCCTGCTCTTCTAATCCTAAAGGTGTTTTAAATTTATGTTCATAGCAAGTCAAAGAGGTATCTTTAACACACACACTAACACTTCACAAGCATCTTTAGTGGAGTCAGAGAGCTGAGATCTTGAAATGCGCAGGTCTGAAGTCCCTGTTGCTGCTATCAATATGGAGCTAGGTTCCATTTTAAGCCGAATTTATATTCTGATTGTAGAATTGCAGCACACACTTAGAAGTCCTTGCAAACAAAAGAGTAAACACATGGATAACTGAACACTGTGCCAGATTCAGCGAACACCATTTTTATATCCTAATTGCCAGGAATGGGGACAGCTGCATCATTGTTTAAAACACACACTCACATACAATTAAGCCAAGAACAAATGTCAATGCTGGCACAATCTGCTAAATTACTGATAACTGATGGGCATTACTCATTCCGTAAGCATTGTCTCCAATACAAAGCGCAAAGAAAAAAAATAACTTAGAGGTGTCTACTGATTTAAGAAAGCTACTTTTTATATCATACAGCACAACTGCAACCTGCCAGATTATGTAAGTGACATTCCGCCCATGTGTTCAAAGGGTTTGTGATAAGTACATGCTGTTCTTGTGCCTTCTTACACTTGTCTTAACGACTCAGGCCTTCAAGAGGCTGATTCTTGGCTTTGGGACATCACTTTGTCTGTGATGAAGGTTATCTTGCTGTCAGGTAAACAGAAATGCCCAAGTCATAACCTTGTAATCCAGAAAGCCAGGGTTGGCCATTGCATGGTCAACTGCAGACACTACTCTACATCATCAGTCTTGCTTTTAATAAATTATTACTTATATAAAAGAACTATAATTTAAACCTCTTGGTCATTCCCTTATGAAACATGAGTTGTGTTCTACATAACATGATAAATCACTTATAATCTCAAATGTGGATATGAAGTCACCTTTTAGCCGTCACATCTCCAGCCTGAGAAGCATCCTTCTTCTGTCTTGGCACCAGGTGTTCCTCTCCTGCATTTTTTCCAACTTATTCAGTTTGTTTCAAAGGTAGAGACATTATTATTATTATTAATCCACAAACCAACCAATGCATCACAGTGCAGAAAGATTCTGTCCATCTCAGTTATATCATACTCCCACAGATAGCCAGAAACAGCACCACTCTTTGTAATGAGGTTACTAAGATCACATTTAGGTGACATGGTGGCCAAAATGAACCCTTAACCTCTTTTGCTCACCTTAAAGGCCAGGCCTTCCAGTAGAAACACTTGGATCAGGTTCTGCCCTTTGAGGAAGAGCACTGATGAATTCAGCTAAGAGAATGTTTTTTGTTTCTGAGCCAGTGCAGGCTCCTAGACACATTTTGTTGGTGGTCTGCATAATGCTGACACTTTCAAAAGAATGCCCTATAAATATCACTGCTTAAAAATGTTTAGTGTTCCTTGGGTACCTGCGAAGAGCAAAGAGATGAGTGTCCCTCTGTGACTTCCCACTACCAAAACACGGAGGGATGTTCCCAATCTTAATGTCATGGCCCCAGCCTGTGTCATTTAACCACCGGCCTAAGTCCTAAAAGCTCCGTGCATTTGGTAGACGTGGCTAGAATGTTTACTACATG